AGAATGCGTTGCTATGTAGGTGGTGCAACAATACAAATTTGTATATTCAATTTTCCTGCCGTATACATATGCGCATGCTATGGAGATTCGCCCTTAGGCTAACGGCAGAATGCTAGAAGCGCGGAAGTGGCAGCATTAAAGTCAAATACATACATGCACTACCGCTGCTCTCAAAGTAAGCTTTAATTTTTTTTCCTTAGGAACCCAGCCAGTCTACTGCGCTGATTGGGTGAAGATAAATAGCAAATTTAAAAAAAAAATGCATCATACGCTCAGGGTGCACATAGCAACTGTGATTTTCACAAAGCTAAAGACATTTATTTGAAATTGGCCCAGTTAACCGCATGGCAGCAAAGCGAACAAAACAATAAAACTACAACAAAATATGGTAAACAATGGGCAAATACACATGCAAATATGTATGGTGTCAGATAATAATGGCACAGATTGGAAATGCAGAAACAACTAAATTCTACAGAACCGAAATAACGCATTTAAGCGCATACACACACACACACACACACACACATACAAACATTCAAGTATCAAGGATATGTTGAACCAGAAGTGCTAATCCAATCCAATTGAAATGCAAGCGAATGAATGCAGTTGCCTACTCAACGCCATTCGACTGCCGCACAGTGGGAGAAATCACGAAAAAGCTGGCCATATATGTATAGTAAAAATTAACCTAGAGGCTTCAAGTTTGAAACACGCGCTTCTTTAGGGAATATTAGCATAAGGTGTTAATATAAACAAAATCAGCCCACAAATGCGCCCTTTTCGCATATAATTTTTTTTTAACTCAAAATTTTATATGTGAGAAGCTCTAACAAGGAAGCAAAAGGTGACAGAAACTTCCACTAGGGCTTTAGTTAAAGCTAGAACTCTGGTCTACTGTCCCTGAATCTGGTGTTGAACTCGGCCAAAATCGCTTAGGCGGTTACAGAAGAAGAATGTTTTTACCACGTTTTCTTTCTTTGCTAGAGCTCCTCAAATATTACAAAGACGCGGTTTGTTGACACTTTGACCTTCTTTTTTTCAAAATTTTGACCTGGTGGAAAATGTATACTTACAGATTCGCAATCAGCACAAAAAGCTCTATCAAAGCTTTAATAAATATTTGCCGCACCAAAATTAGTGTTGCCCTGTGTAAGCTTTCCTTACAATACAATGAGCACAGTTATTATTTTATAGCGCTATTAAAACGTGAATTACAACAGAACTTGGACGAATCTGGTTACTTTATTTTCGAATTCTTGAAGTACGCTGCTTTAGCTATTATCTTCAATGCGCAGAATAGCAAGATCTCCCGCGATCGCAACTTTTTAAACAATCAAAAGAAAGCTTGTTTTTTTTTTTAGACAAAAATTTAAATTTTATGACTTAGACTATTTAAGATACAGTCAGAAACGCTCACTATATCGCACACACTTTTTATTTTAAAATCAAATTTCCGAAGCACAATTTTAGAGACAGCTTTTTCGTGATTTATCCCACTGTGTGCCGTTATTATTATGGCCAGTAGAGTTGTCAGTTGTTGGTGAGCCTCTATAACTGCTGGTTGTCTGTTTGTTGTTAGCATTATTATGGCATTTTTACAAACCAAAGGCACCACCACCCCGCATTTGCCATAATCGCATTCTCCGCCAAGTGCATGTGCATGCAAAACACGCGACCACTTTAATATACTTACTCTATGTGCATAAAACGAATTGAAGCGGATGATCTGAGCGGCAGCAAATGACCCAAAATTTGCAAAATCCACTTGACGCTTTTATTTGTTGTACATAAATATGTATGTATGTATGTATATTGTTATGCTGTTTGTACAAACCAGTTGACTGTCTGTCTGGCTGGTTGGCTGGCTGGTTGGCTGGCTGGCTGACTGGTCATATTATGGCTAAAATCCACTTAGCCAATCGAAATTTTTGTTGACTGGCGCCAAAATGAATAAAACTTAAACATAACAAAACAAGCGTTTGGGGGAAAACCATACAAACAAGAGCAAAACAAATAAAAACAATGCGCGCCAACAACAAACAACTAATACTACTCTCTGCACATACAATATTTGTTTACAAAAAAGTGCATTAAAACACAACAACACGTAATATTAACAACAGCAAATGTAAGCGCCTAATTGCATTTGTTCGACGACGGCGCCGCTGCTCAGCTTATAGTGCAAAAGTTGGCGCCGACATTAGGTGTGGGCGGGCGGGCGTCGCAAAAAAAGTGCAATTCAAACATGTGTTGATGTTATAGCTATGTGTAGTGGTCGTTGTTGTTATTGTTGCCGTCGCATCTGCTGCTGTGACCATCAGTGCGCTAATAGAATAACATTTGCTAAAATTATAATGATAATTGGCATCTCGTTTATGGCTCTCGTATGTCGTAGCTGTAGTAGAGCGTAAAGCAGTGATGCAACCGTCATTTACTAACTAAAGGCCAGTGGAGCGTAGCGTTCGGTAGTAAACGAGTTTGGAATTTGTTGTAATCAAGCGATGCAATCAGTGTTAAATCCTATCAAAAAAATTTTATAAGTTTTTTTTTTACAACTATTAGTAAATATGAAGCAAAGGTCACATCACACACTTGCACACTTTATTGCATGCACTGTGTATTAGTATATTTTTATTCAAAATTGCATAAGCCCATTCTATGGGAAATTTTTGTTGATATCACTGAATATTTTATGGAAGCCACTTTCCAAGTGCGATGTAGAATTGCTCGGTGATTCCGAAAATCGTGCTAGTTTTTTTTTTTTTATTTGTATGGATAAGTTTTTCGGATATTTGCAATTTACCGTTCTTCATATATCTCGCGAACCAATTGGACTGAGAGCTAACGAAATTCTCCATAAACCTTGCATACATCACTTTTCGAAAGGCCTGATAGTTTCAGAGAAATTAATTAATCATTCAGGAAAATCAAGCTTCAAAGAAAAAAACCGATGTATAAAACAGAAAGGAATATGTGGTCAAATAAAAATGCGGAAAGATTTTTTTTGTATGGAAAACGAGCAAGAAATAATGTTACTCATACGCCATGTACACCTGAAAAACACCCTTTTCTGCTCTCATATTTCGTACAAAAAATCCTTGCGCATTTTCATTTGACCACTCATTCCTTTCTTACTATAGTATGTATGTAGTTATTTTTTATTCATCAAAAAACTTCAACACCAATATATGCAAAGCGCTAGCGCTATTAACACCAAGAAACACATGAGACACATGTACTTTGTTTTTGCTTTTGAGTGGCGAGAATGCCAGAAACGTATGTATCTTGGCAAATGTACACCGTTTACTCAATGCTAGCAATTAAATTCGATTGGCGGTACAAGCATTGTTCAGCGCCGAAAATGAAACAAATAATAGGCATTACACCACTGTATTACGTATGACACTGTATGACGATGGGTACTGTGGTAACACTCAGATGGCACCGTGCTCAAATCAGTACACTGCGCTATTGCGCTGAGTTAGTGCGCTGACACCACAGATGGCGCCGGCGCTGTTGAGCTAGCGCCATAAAAATTGCGCTATTACCCATGGCCACTTCTAAATGAATAACTGCTTTGGCTTAAAGTATGCAGCATTAAATCCCAAGAGCTCCAATACGGCATCACTCCTAAGAGCTCCAATACGACATCACTTTTATGAGACGTTGCTTACTATTAGGCTCATCCATTATATATTTATGTATGCAATAAAATATGTTTGCCAATTGTAATTCATTCAGCGAAGCAATTTTTAGACTCCCATAATTGCTCTCTGATTTAGCGAGCATGTTTTTTTGTAGACTTTTTAAAACCCTTAACATCTAGCGTTATAGGTCGTTTAGGCCGCTTATCGAACAAGCTCACTAAAATTAAGAGTTTTAACTTAAACTATATTCACATTACAGCACAAATTACTTCACATAAGTCAAGTAAGTTTACATTTACTTTCATAATTTCTATAGATGTGATTATCACGTGTACGTACGAGTGTGCGGTTTTTACTTGATTTAAAAACAAAAAAATGGTTTCATACCCTTAGGCATTTTTTCAAATTTCCTCAACAGTGGGGGCTAAGATAAATGAAAAATCCTTTTTTTCTTAATTTAGTTCTTGATTTATTATATATTCCCCCTATTTTAACAGTGTCACAAATCACGAAATTATGTAATTGATTTCCGCATGAATTGCTTATAAATTACAAATGTGCCGTAAATAACGATAATATGAACTTACTTTTAGCTCGTTCCGGAAGTAGTGTCGGTTCTTACTAGTTTACAACTCGACTGCTGAGTGGAAGAACGACCTATCTCGGCAGCCAGTTCGAAAACGCCCTATCTCAAAAAAAGTTTTCAAGAACGCCCTATTTCAGAACTTTATTGAAAAACACCCTATCTCAGAAATTGGTTGAAGAATGAACTGTCTCAGAATACGATTCAAAAATGTCCTATCTCACTTTAAAATGTATTGAAAATGTGCTGAAATATGGCGTTTTTGAAACGAATTCTCAAATATTGCGTTCTTCAACCAAATTCTGAAATGGGACGTTTTTGAAAAGTTTTTTGAGATAGGGCGTGGCTAAAAAATGTATGTAGAATATTTTAATCTTCTCTAGTTTTTAATGAACTTACGTGGGACTTCTTTAAAAAATCGATATCAAAGAGGTTAATTACGGTAGAAGTTATGGAGCATTGGTTCAGATCAATGTGCACATCAAAAACTTGCATATTCCGTAATTGATATTGTGTTAAAAAAAATTAAAACTCAAACTCACTATAAAAAAAAAAAAAAATATTACGTGATGTAAGATCTTCTTATCACGTACAGATCTACCATTTTGCCAAAATCTGGTAGTTAAGGCCTACAATTGTTCCATAGTTTTAAGTATTTTATGATTTTGACCTACCAAATTTCGAACGTGATTATTCAAAATACTTGAAGTAAATTCTCTGCATGAATTTCTACAAATTCTATATCTAGTGATTCTAATTTTACTTACCCACATACATGCAGGAAAGCAGCAGCTGCAGCGCCGGTATTGAAAATCTTTCATTTTCCAATTTCACCAATTCCAATGCTAATTTTTCAATTTTATTGCGCAGCACTGGCGTTACAATGCCCGATATACCAGTTGCAGTGTTCACGGCGGGACCGCCAGAGGTGTGACTGACGTTGCTGATAACCACAATGCGTTCAAGTCCCTGTAAATGAAAATAGTAAAGAAATTATTAAGAACTTCGTTTTTCCTATTCGAACAATTTTTAATTTTTGCAGTTAATAGTTGTATTGATACCAAAAATGAAATGCGATTTTTTAGCACCCTTGCGTAATAGCAAAAGTTTATTCAAAATGATAGATAATGAATTCAAAAAGGTTTGCGGAGGTTAAGAGAGAGAGAGAGAGTACTAAGATTGTTAAAGTTTTCGGTTTATTTTTTATAGAAGATAAACGCTTTATTTACAGAGTTTCGAAGTTGAAAATTAATCGCGACTATTTCTAGAATTACTCTATGGTGATTTGCATATTTATTTATTTACTTTTTGGCACCACTGCTACGTTTCAAGTAAAGAATTGCTCGCTGCTTCCGAATTGGAAATTGGAGTAAATATGAGCACTTAATGTTTATTATTAGTAAAAAATATATTTTTACTTTCAAAATTTTTGCAATTTTAAATATTTTGTGTGTAGATTTACATATGTATGTGTATTTTTTAAACATCTCATGTTCAAAATCAAATCTTGAACATCTTGGACGTTTATTTAAAAATTTTCTGGTTGAAAAATAAACGCTTTTCAGTAGTAGTTTTACTAGCACTATTTAGAGTGCTTTTAGAGAGAGAGAAAAAAAATCATTGCACATTTGCATTTAACCGTCGATTTCTTCGTCAGTAGCTTGTTATTTTTTTGTTTTTCATAAAATAACAAACGAGAAAAATTAAAAAAAATATATATTATTTTTTAATTTTTTCCCCTGTTAAAGGGCTATCTGCAGTTCTCAAGAAGAACGAAAGGTTCACATAAAATGACACATAAGAAATAGAAAAAAAATTTTCTTCTATCAAAATTTATTAAATCTGTAGCAGCTCTTAAGAAAAAAAATGCTCGTATATTTATTTCTTCAAGAAAATGTACAGCAACAGCAAAGTACTTTTTCAAGCAAAAGAACTAATGAAAAATATATCTTGTGATTTTTCTTGAGAACTGCAGATGGCACATAGTGTGGGAAAATCTCTAATAAATGCCTAAATTTGCATGAGGAATATGGAAACATGATTCGTATGTTGTCAGCCTTGAAGACGAAGGGCACAAGGGTAGTTTCTTGCAAAGGGCACTCTGAAACAAACGACACGTGTTATTTGAAGTGGCGCCATTTTTGGAGAAAATTAACAATTTGATTTCTGTAAAATGGAATCTTCTTCTGAAAGCATATACGATAGCCTAAAATTTATATAAAATTACTTAAAAAATAATTACAATTTCTATAGTTAATGGTTTAAACTTAAAAAATGTACAAAATTAAAAATATATTAAAATTAATAGAAAAGTTATATAATTCCGCATAATTCCACTGTTTAGTTATAAGTGGCCGGCCGGCCGGCCGCATTAGGGCGAATTCAGTTTTTATGAACCCACTAAATAAATATAACCCTTTCTGACTGATACTTTCCCTACTTCCATACGACGTAAATAGAATAACATTGCGAGTTGTTGCGATGAACTAGGCTTCAGGCATAGGGCCCTGCGCTGAATGCGAACATACATATGTGGGTATTAAATATATCATAAGTAAAAGCAATTTTCAACCTCAAATTAGAGAAGTAGATTTGCCTGAAACTAACCAGACAATATTTTTGTACATTAAGCCATAGAACCTGGCACGTACATACGTAGATAGCTAGCTAGATACATATCTAAATAATACAATTTCTATAAACTTTTACAAGCACTTACTTGTACAACTTTTTACTCAGTACTCGAGTGTTTACAATTAAATTGCTGCAATTTATGCTCTTCATGTGCCCATCGTCGCAGAATGGATGTTGTTTTGTGTTTTTCCTTTTTCATTTTAATTGTCACCCAACAAGTCAGCCATAATCCACACAATTAAACCAACGTCCATTAGGCATTTTCATAGTCCCAAAATGTTATTTAACTATTTGCTAAACTAACAAAAGCGAGCACATATACATATACATATATGTATGTATATGTGTGTATGGAAGCGACGGGGCATGAAAACGCAAATAAACATCACAGCTAGTAGCTAGTTCACTCCGCATAGCATTAGCCTATTAAGCCATGTAACGCACATACCGACACACCCGCTAGGAAAGGTGTAAGGGTCAGAGAGTATTTGAACGGGGTGTGTGTGTGCGTGTTCTTGTACTTGTGCGTGTGCGTGGTGGTCGGCAATGTCATGGCACAATTCAAGCGTAAACGCAACGCATTGATTCCGGTCAACGACGGTCGTCAGCCAGGCAAGCCAGTGATCGGCGGTCAGCTGGAAGCGCGATGCTATTTTATTTTTGCTTTCTGGCTATAAAAATAAATGCTATAACATACCAATGCATATGTATACAAATGAGTGTGTGCGCACAAGCATTTGAACGCCTGTTTGTTGTTGTTAGTTTTGAAAATTGCCAATCAAAAAACCAATTAACAAGGAGCAGCAACAGCAACAGTAACAGTAACAGCGACAGCGACAGCTTTGGGCCACTGACCATCAACGACGGCCACAGCGGTCATTCATTCGCTGCTCGTCATGCAGCGATGTCCTGCGGCAAATCAACAAAGCACTAAACGAACGGATATCGAGAGTCAGAGAGCAGCTCTGGGCAACGTTGCAGACAAAACAAAGGGATAACGGATGAAAGAATAATGCTTTTCGATGTTGGGGAGAGCAGAAGAGACAATGGCGGTGGCAGTAGCAATATTATTTGCCAAAGAAGAAGTATCACACAAGGGGATAAATAGAAAATAGAAAAGTAAGTGCCACAAAGCTGAGCTGAAAGGAGTAAGATTGAAAAAAATTATAACAATACACACAGTTAAGCAAATACACATGTATGTACATTAGGGTGGTCTTTAAATGTTGGATATAAATTTTACATCAGATTTCCAAAGCCTCAACATTAGGGTGATGCTACTATAGTCGAGGAAAACGCATACAAATTTTGGTTCAGATTTCTCTATGGAGACTCAAAAAATTAATATGATTTTTTTTCATCTGATACCTAAAATCGATACTACCGTAGTCGCAGATATCATATATAAATTTTGGTCCCGATTTAAGTCGGCTAAGGCGTGTCGCTAAAGGCTCAAAGTTCAGATTACCTTATGACTTATGTCTTAACCGACTCCAATCGGAACCAAAATTTATTTGTGATATCCTCGACTATAGTAGTATCGATTTTGGGCATTAAATAAAAGAAAAAAATCTTGAGTCCATAGAGGCATCTGACCACCCTAGTGTACACACATATGTATGCACATGTGTAGGTTTATGAGCATATAAAAAGAAGAAACCAGAAAGTGAACGCGCGTGGCATACGAGTAAAAGGCGAATGTTGTCAGAAACAAGGAACAGCGAAAGTAGCTCACTCCAGAAACATTCAGGACCCTCGGCACACCCACACACCCATGCATATAGGACACAATGTTGTAGAAGACAAAGTGACTGCAATAACCACTATGTGTATATGTATGCACGGGTAAGCAAAGCCCAGCACTAACGAACGTATAAAGTCGATTTCTAGAAGCTCGGCGGGCGGAGTAGCGATTCCTGTGACAACAGAGTTACGATGGCAAACGCTCATTCAACTGACGCGCTTTGAAGCTGCTGTATGTGTAGCTATATATGTATGTACATACAGTCAAAGTCAAAGATATGCATATAACAAGTAATTTTTAGCAAAAAAAAACCGACTTAAAAAAAATATATATATATCTATATATTTCATGATCCAATGATCAAACCAAATTAGAATGGGACCACCTCTGAGACACTACATTTCCGTTGCAAAAAGAATTATTGAAATCGGTTGACGTGGTGCAAAGTTATGCGGTAACATACATAAAAAAAAAAAAAAAATATTCCGACGAACTGATAACCTCCTCCTTTTTTGGAAGTCGGTTAAAAATATAATTTATTCACCGGCAAAAACCACAAGAATAAATTTTAAATTTTATACAAAGCTCGGAAAAACGCAAAAAATATGAAGAAATTTTCAATTCGGATTCTTAGAAAAATTTTGGGTATGCAATTTCGTAGCCTATTATATTTTAGTTAATTGGCATAATTTTTTTGTCGAGGGTGTCGCTAATTTTCTTCTAACCCGAAACCCTTGAGAAAACATTTTTTTTCTAAACATTCTGAATAAAAGTCTTAAAATTTTTCGAACCCTTTTAAGTTTGTTAAAAAGTATGAAATTTTAATTAATATGGTTTTTGTTAAAATGTGAACTACATTTTCGTGAAAGAAGTAACATTGCGAAAATTGTAAAATAAATCACTATACGAATAATTATTTTGAACACTGTATACATATGTATATGAATGTCTGAACTTTTTTGGGCGTAACTGGCGGCGGTCAATGCAGCGTAGTGATTTAACTACTGCTGATGCTACACGAAAAAGGACTCACTTAAGCGGCAAAGTGTGTCCATCTGACATTGCGGATGTAAAAGCGTGTGTGTGTGTGTGTGTGTGTCGTGCGAATTGCACGTTATAATCAAATGTTTACAAAGCCGCACTGTGCATACATTTGTATAGGGTGATGGTTATGAAGTCATAAAACGTATCCAGTTGAAGGAGTTTTTTTTTTCGATCAAAGTCAAAATATTAAGTTGGGATTTTTATACTGGCTAACCAAAACTTCTACATCAAATTGTGCCCGTTTTATTTGAAAAAATATTAGGTTATTCTTACATTTTTCGTTTCGTATTTGTCATAGAGATAGCATTTAACACTAGGTAAAGTTTGATATATGAAATGCTTTATCTTTTCTTATAACTAAAATAAGATCATATTTACAGTTTCGAGCATATAAATAGGGAAGCAACATTTCGAAAAGTTTAGGCTTTTTTCTTTCGTTTACTTAGTGTTTTAGCTTTTTATGAAAGCATTGCGCCCTATGTAATAAAAAGCATGTAAGTCCGAATTTAAAATTTTCTAAAAAAAATTAAGAAAGTTTGGCAAGCTGTCATCAAAATTTAAAATCTTTGAATTCGAATTTTTTGAACAAATTTTGATTTTTGTTTGCAAAATTAAATAAAATTGAGTCAGACCTAACAAAACGGTGGAGGAGGAGAAGGCAGATATATACCTCAAACGAAGATACTGCAGATATATCTCCGCAAATCTGAAGAATACTGACTGAAAATACTCTGGCAGCAAACAAACAAATGCTTAACAATTTTTCTTTGACCTGCGTGGTGACCCTAGCTTACGACAGATTTTGAGTCCGAACGACTTTGAGAAAACGAAAAATCCCCTTTGCTGGTTCCGGAAGCTAGACTCTCTGCGGAAATCTTGTAAGCCGCCGATCAGCAAAGCGATGGGAAATGCAAATTTATTTGAGTTTTATTTTGATTGCCAACAATTGAAAATGCTATACATATGTATGTATAATGTTAGATATTAGATCAAACCTTTATGACCACAAGAAATTAAAAATACATTAATCGCTTTATTTACATACATATGTATCTCATAAATACAATTTCCTACAAAATAAATGAAAATAACTTGCACCCACTTATTAAATTTACTTTTCGTTTATCTTCAATGCATTGTAGACCTCTGCATGAGTTGATTCTAATTTCAATCCGAACAGAGTTCAGCAGACGTTTTATTTCATGTGCGAAAAACTCACAGTTTTGAGTTTGGTACACTCCCAGTCATTAGATTAGCAGACCTTATTGGTCCTCTATATGTACAGCTTTTCCTTCGCTTGTTTAATATTAATTTATCTTTTTATAAAAATGTAATTCTGAGTTTCAAATTTTATAAAAACTTAAAAAACATCTCAACAAAGGGGTGTGATATCCTAATGACCTGCAGCGCATAAGCTAATATTTTTCGAAAAATTTCGGGTACGCAGTTTTGTAGCCCATTAAATTTTAGTCGAGTAAAGTGAAACTTTCAAGTGGCTAAAAAATACCGTTGATTTTTGTATTTTTTTTTTATTGTTGACGGTGCTGAGCATTTTCTTCCATAAAAAAAATTTATCGAGTATACATACTTTGGACACTGTCCACAAAAAAAAACGGCATTTTGTAGCCACTTGAAAGGTCACTTTATTATGCTGAAATTTTTCTTAAAATATTTTTAATTGCAGTCCATTAGGATGGCACACAGTTTGGTTGACATGTTTTTAAATTTTTAATAAAATTTTAAAATCGGATTGGTACGTAGAATATACACTTTTATAAAAAAACTAATAAATATTGAACAAACAAAAGGAAAACTGTGCATACTGAGAATCTAAAGTGTCTTCTAGCCTAATGACTCGCCAGATTCCGTACAGCGCGAGTGACCTACTCAAGTACCTAACACTATGCGTAACTCTAGTCGAGTCGTTTCTGCTTTATTTTCTAGAATTGCGATAAGAAGGGTATTATTTTCATGCAACTAACGGTTTTAGGACAATCCACCGTCGAAAAGAGAAAAAAATTTTATCACTAATTTTTTATTAATATGGCGCTTTTTCTAAGCTTTTTACATATACCATTTTTACTGTACTACTCAAGCTGTTTTCACATCGTGTGGATATTTTAACTTCGGCCCAATAGAATATCAGCCCAGCTATTCAATAAAATTCAAAGCCAATCACATTCATTTCATTTTAATATGAATGAATAGTTTGCCATTTTGAATGGATTTATGCAGACATTTAATACATTGTAATCAATTGGATTATTTCAAGGAAAATGTGCATATCAATTTATGAATTAAATTTCCTTGAAATTATCTTTTTGTCTTTGTTTTATTTTATTTTAAATTGACATTCTTCGATTGCAATTGCTTTTGCTATTTAATACCAGCATTGCTTTCGTTTATTTAATTCCTAGCAACAGATCTATGCTGTTTCACTTGAGGTAATTACAAAGCATAGCAGGAATTTAAAAGTTTGTAGTCCAAATTGGATTTCCGTTCACAAACACAATCAAATAAATTATTGGGAAGCATGGACCAATTTGCAGCAAAGTGAAGGGTACTTAATATTATACATGCATGCATGTTCATAAGTAGTGTTTATGCACATAAGGCCGGCTCGGTTTATTTGAAAAAAAAAACAATTGTAACAACGACTCCAAGTTTGAAAGCTTACTTTGAGAAGAATTTGTAATCATAGAAATTTTTAACTTTAAATCGTTTGTTCTTTACGATTTTTTTTTATGCCTACACTTTTGTACATACATAGAAATGTATGCATATACCCTCATCATATTAAAAAAAAAAAAATTATACAGACGTACTGATAAAATAAACTACGGGATCCCGTATGTCGCAGTTGCCTGGAAAATTACGAGATGGAATCACCTGAACACTACCTTCTTAGGTGCCCAGCGTTTGCGAGGCTAAGGTTCAAGTACTTTGGCTGTCACATCCTTAATAGCACCGAGGAGTTCTGGGGCGTCGAGCCAAATTCCGAATTCGTATTTACATAATCTGCTCGATCCGTTTTACCGATTAAATATTGGGTGCCGTTCAGAAAGTAGAAACACAAAGAACAATATCCTAATTGTCCAAGTGAGCCCCTGACACACGGTGCAACCACCTAACCTACTAATAAATTTAATGGTGTTTTAGTTCGCCCAAAAAATGTTCCCTTTCCATGGTACAAAAGATGACAGAGAATGTAGCTTTTTTTAAAAAGGATCATAAATCAAAAAAGTTATAAAGAAAACATGATTTTGGTGCCGCTATGCGGAGGTTAAAAAATTTTTTTTACGACCCTTACTAATGTAAAAATACATGTATATTTATATGCACATTTAAATGAATGAATTTGGACGTGCAGCTGAAAATACCTATCTGCGATAAACATGAAAATGCATAATAGTTAAACGAACAAATTCTGTACCAATTTGTAATCCCTAAGCATTGGGCATACACAAGCATAACATTTAATTTGTGTGATTAAATTTGCATAGATACCATATAGGAATATTAACTTGTATGAAATTAAAAATGTGTGTATAGTATGTCTAATGATTTGTATATTTAATTGCTCCGCTGAGAAAACTTGTATGGATCAGGCATATTTGCATTTCGTGACTAGTAAGCGCTAGTGACACAAGTAACTAGTCAGGAAACTACTAAAAGTGAAGTGGGGGAAAGGGGTCGAAAGGCAACAGGTTTGAGGTGGTCGCATGCGAGAAACGACGGCTTGAGTGTTTGCCTGGCGCCCCACTTTTTATATACTCCTTCAGCAGTGGTTGAAAAGAATACACATCAAATGAAGGAGTCCCTTTTAAAAGGCTTGTACGCAGATATAGCCCGGCCATTCCTACCCTCTTCTAAAAGGCTTACTCCAGGAAAATACACCGCGGATGAGCTTAATGGCGTTCAGGTTTATTCAATAAATGTTTCCCTACTTGACCTTCAAATAACCTCGAACCTGGCGTGATGGGGGCTAAGCTGACCTCAGATTCGCATTAAGCGCGTCGAATAATTTGGGCATATAGAGGTTTGGTTCAATATGCAAACCTGTGTAATTGTTTGATTCCAAATTAATATTCGAATCCTAGGAGTTAGATCCTTTCAAATACTCTATACACCGCACGATACATAGATATGTAATTCCATTTGTATTAGAAAGGATCCAGTTTGTTGTCATTACCTTTCACTGCATCGATATTTGGCAAATATACCATATACAAAAACAAACTACATACATAGATATAAATATATGTACATATATGTTGGTACTTACGTGCAGCACACACAGGTATACATCCTCATTACTGCTCTTCCTCAGGAAATTACCTGCTGCAATTACTGTATTCGACAGCAAATGACATTGTGGCACAAATTTCGATGTCCATTCAATGAGGCAATAATTAAGAGTCCAAACCAATTTTGTGTGTGTGTCGCTGCACTGCATAGCGCTGCAAGAGAGAAAAGTGAAATGTATTAGGAAAAAAATATTATTTCGGTATATTTTCGTTGAAATGAGTATCTACTAACTATTTAGTTCGGAATATTCAAATTTTAATTGAACAAGTTCAGTAAGTGAATAAGTATATATGTATGTATGTATATATATTCCATACAGTGGGTCAATTTTCAAGGGATTTACGTAAAGTATTTACACAAGTGAAAGTTAACAACTAAATATAGGGTGGCAAACATATACATAGATATTTGTATAGATATGTACACATATCGCACATTTGCTGCAAGAGACATAATCAAAAAAAAAAAAAAAAATGAGTTAGGTATGCAGAAATGACCGCTAAATGTTCTTCTTTATTTTGTCAAAAATTTCACATAGCTGTGTCGATTACCAGGAGTTCACTGGAACAAAATATATATTGATTTTTACTATTAGAATATATCGATGGCTGAGTGGAAGATCGACCTATCTCGGCTGCCAGTTCGAAAACGCTCTATCTCAAAAAACTTTTCAAGAACGCCCTATGATCACATATAAGTATATCGGTAACCGTTCTACCAATTTGTACCAAACTCGGTATGGTTATTGTACTTGCCACGTGTAAGCAAAACGTTGAAAATTATCGAAATCGGACTAAAATAACGGCCGATTCTCATATAACGGTAAATTTAAGAAATGCTTGAAACTTCAATATTTCGAAATTGAAGGACGCTAATTTACTCAAAATTGATGCACCCCGGCTTACCATCTAGCGGAAGGTTTCGGAAGGGTGGAAAAACATATATTTAATACTTGCGCCGGGTATTTAATGTTCGGCTCCGCCCGAACTTAGACTTTCTTACTTGTTATACTAGAATTTAATAGGCTACAAAATGGCATAGCCAAAAAAATTCCAAAAAAGCGGTTATAAAAAATTTAAATTTCGAAATGAATATTTATGAAGCTTCGCGAGTTTTGCAAAAAGTTTAGAAGTTATATTTTCATTTTTTTTTTTTGTAGAATGAACCATATTTTTATAAAAAAGTTGAGAAAACAAATTTCAACTAAATTTTTTGTTTTACAAAGGAAGTACAGCGAATTTAAATAAAGAAAACAATTAGGGAGCTGATAAGGTGTTTTATACTGTCGCATTATTGTCTGTCGTAAACTTTGAACGGCTAAAACTATATTTAAGGGCGTTGTGTTATGAAATTTCACACCGTTAAAAAAATAGTTGGTTTTGGTTTCAAGTCTTCCAAGCATTCATTTAGCCGTTAAAAACTTTACGACATATGACACTAACGACAACTTGTCTCCTACCCAAATGATTTATGTAACATATATAATGTTTATGGCACACGTTGGTACTTCGAATTATTGATGGATTCATAAATAGCTGGTAAAATAGTTTTTTCCTCGGTTGAAAAATTGTGTTTTTGCAGATAGAGAGTCTTGAATATAAGCGGTCGATATGTATGAATAGTAAATAGCTATTCGAAGCTTACACTTGCAAATTTTGTTTTCGATTTGTAATAGCTTGCGAATGAGTATTCTTGCCAAATACAATATTTACTTTAAAGCTTAGATTTTTACACTTTGTACAAGGAAAAGTTATAGAATTAAAAAAAAGAAAATGTTTAAGACTTTGGCTATGTGGCCATCATCGATATTGCGGTTATTTGCGAAAGCCCTTGAAAAACTTAAGTAAACCACTGCAGAAAGTTTCCAAGTGGCACATAGACAACTAAATATGTATATAGAGATACATACATACATAAATCATGCATGCACATGTGCATGTACCTATATATAAACAAAGTCTGAAACAAACTTCGGATTTATAGTATTTTTCAATATAATTGCTTTCTTTTTACACATTTTATTTTCGGTTTTATCTCAAACTTATGCATTTGCTTTTTGAATTGTTTTTGCTTGTGAGCAACGAATGACAATTGCGAAATCTGTAATGGATGCTGCAAAAACCGCAGAGCATTTGAGTGGCACAGTTAGTATGAGACATTCATAAAAAGCCCGTCAGACACACACACACAGGCCAGACTAGTCACTTGGTAGTTGTTTGGTAAAACTTTGTGATTGGGCAAACAATACTTAAACCACAACAAAACAATAATAATGGTAGACGTGCTTGATTGGACAGGTATATATATATCTATTAGTCACATAAATATATACGGTATATAAATATATAAATTTTTATATTAATAGTAGTTGACGTATAACTAATTGCATAGATGCATCCCTTTATTAAATACAAAAGGATATTGGAGTAGAAAATTGCACATTGACTTTTCTCTTATTTAGTTTAATTTACCTCAGGTCGGCCTCTCTCTAGTTATTACCAAAAATATAGACCTATACGCTCGTGGCATTTCTCATCGCACCAGTTGTTCTTTCCAGCTGGCCGAAATCGTATTACTTTAATGATAAAGAAAACCTCTTACCCGGGGATGATATAACCCGCTATCAGGCACCCGGATAACCTTAAGCGCCTACCCAGGTACCCGTATAAAGATAGCCACATATTCGGGTACTCAGATAAAGATAATCTACTACCTGGGTACCCGGGCAAATATACCCCTCAATTCAAGTACCTGAATAATAATAACTATCTATCCGGGATCTGGATAAATATAACCTCCTATCCGGCTACTCGATTAAAAATAACCCTAAATCCGGGTATCCAGATAAATATAACCTACTACCTGGGTACCCGGAGAAATATAACCCGGATAAAGATAGCCTTTTGCCCGGGTACCCGAATAAAGATACCACTATCCGGGTACCCATTATCGGGGTACCAAAATAATTCTATTTATTCTTATTAAATTAAATATAAATATCAGTGGGCAACCAAGATAAACCGCGCATTTGTATATCTCTCCGATAGATCGTTTTTCGGCTAACAGTTATATTCGAGCCCTGATATTAGGTGTTTGAGCTATGAAATCTTACTCAAGAAAAAGGAATAAATGTCTCAAAGCATTAAGTTAGTTTACCCTTATATATACCCAAAAATTAGTTGGAAAGTTGCGTGGGTTTCGAAAAATGTATATATGTTGTTATTTTTCCTTTTTTCAACAATGCGGATATATCAAAGTGTTAAGGGATCAAATGTCCTGTTGGGAATACAAAAAACTATGCGGGGTATTGAACTTTATAGAGTTTATTCAACTTAAATGATATCGCAGTTAAGTGATTCGGATCGATTAGATTGTCATAGAAACCACTGAAGCAACAAAAGAATAATAGACAAATTATTCAACAGAAATTTTCTTCAAAAGCATTTTAATGAGCTAATCTCTCCATTATACGACCCACTATGTAATACACACAAACAAACTCAAAGACAGCTTCTGCATAAACGCTCAGCAGTTAAGCATCGTTCCAAGTTCAGGTTAACTTCATTGGCCTTAATCTGATTTTCTTCGTACGTTTGTTGGCTTAGCCGAAGCTAAACAACTGTAAAAGCATTTACAGATAACGGTTAGACCTCACACACACACACCCACGAACACACTAGCATGCCTTCATGGATAAGAATTCCCATAGCAATTGACTGAGTGCGCTGACTACTCACCTCACATCGATAATCCCATGACGATTGATGTAGCCCACAATCAGTTCGCGCAGCAGAGCCAACTCTTCACTCAACTTGCCAATGGTGGTATTGGTCTTCGAACAGCATTCGAGCAGACAGAGCAGTCCGGCCAGCGTTGCATTTCGTATGAAGATGTGCGAACTCTTCAAATAATTGCCAATGAGCTGGCACAATTGTTGCAATTCGCCAAGTGTGGGTATCAGCATGGCTTGCGTCTTGCACAGTAAGTAGATTAAGTGCTGCAAAGTAAAGAAAAAAAATTAAAGAGTGAAAAAAAAAGAAAAATGTAGACGAATAAGACACAAAAACGACTTTAAGTAAAAGTAAAAAAAAAAAACAAAAAAAAAATGTATGTCTGTAATGTGTAAACGGGTGGGTTAAATGAGGACAAAGGTAATGCAGAAATCACACAGCACCGCATACAGACTCAGCAAATCGTATGTATGTATGTAAATATTTGTAAGCCAAGCTATATGCAATCACCACAAAGTGTTACGATATTACTTGGGAAAACAAGGTGGCACTTGGTAGACGACGAAATCGACCAGCACTTGAAACAGATGGACAGACAGACATGTAAGCTGTTAAGCAGACAGACAGACAGACAGACAGACCTACACATGTATGTATGTATTCACAAGAAACACACAAACAAAAAGTCACGTCACTTGGCAGCTAATGCAAACTTGCTTATAGCGAATTCTAAGACAGAACTGCCGATAAGTTACTTGAGCAGCAAAAAGAGTGTAAACGACCACTCACCGGTCAGTACGAGAGAATCAACGTAACAAATTCGTTTAGGTTCAATTGCCACCAGCTGCACCCACACACGCACACCCAGCGGTAAACAAGCAGACAAACAACGATATGTGATGTGGCACATGCAATTGGACACGTCTTGCTGCATTGAAAGTGCTAAGTACCGAGTTGGTAAGTTACAAGTTGCAACATGGCTGGAATTATAGCCAAACATGCGAATAGAAGAAATGGCAAAAAATACCAAAAACTATCAACGAATGAAAGCAAAAAAAAAAAAACAATTGCACAAATTGTGTGCAAGAACAACAACAACGATAATCAATGATGGCAACACTGCCCTTAAATGAGCAACTTTAATCAGCAATCTTGAAATGAGATGTGCCACAAGTATGATGATATGGTTTTCTGTTTTGCTTTTTGTTTTTTTGTTTTTTATACATTTCTTAATACATACCTGATGTGAAATTGTGTCATCCATTGGTATTGTCTCTTGCAGTTTTAAAGCTTTCTCCTTAATCCATTTGATTTGATCACGACTTTCGCATATTTCAGTGAATTTCACCAGATTTGGTAAAACCAAAATGTGATTGTGCTGTAATAGATATAAAAAAAAACAGAAAACACATGTAACAATGGAATTACAAAGATAGTTGAGTTGAGTTGCTTTAACAAGCTTGTGGTAGCTTTAAGAGAGGTGGTTATAGATAGCTTCGAAATTATTCGAAATTAATTGTTTTCAAGGCCTAAAGATTTAAGGACAATTACAGCCCTCCTTGAAATGGCGCATCGGGCGCCAAAAAAAAACTGTCACCTCAAGCCTAGTCACCGCCAACGATCTACCATGGGTCTGAAAGCAGTCGCATAGTTAGACTGATTAGAAAATACTTCGACTGATTAGAAAATAAGTCTCATTCATATTTCGGTGAGAAGTTCTTTTTTGGGATCAGCCTCAGCGAGCCCTATTTTATGCTGGTAGTAACTGTTCTGTCCTAGTCCACAACTTGTGAAATCAGGATTCTGTCTCATCTAAGCTCTGGGTTGGTTTCCCAAGTCCTGACTCGTACTTCCGGATCCGTGCCAAGATACGATTGTTCCACACGAGCCCGCGGGTGCCCAAAATAGCCCAGAACACGTCCCTCACGCTATATTAAAACGTGTAGTAGAGAGGGAATACGTTGCAAATTAATAAACTTTAACTGTTTTCCACATTTGTCAAATCGCAAAATCAAAAACAAGTGAAACAGTTGATTTGTTAATTCCGGTCACGAAATGTGGTTTTTTGGTACATTTTGACACATTTTTGACACTTACGAGAGAGTAAGTTATTTTTAAGCCCTAATTACCGAAACGGCTCAAAAGGCGTATGGAACAAAGCTGATACTTTAATCTTAACCAGAGAAAGAATCAGATGTCAGAGCTGTAACAAAAAAGGATTTCTTAAGCATCTTTTCTTTGAGTTAACACCAATTGGTATTACTTTTTAAATAAATTTAATTTGAATATTTAACAGGTGGAAAACCTCTCTAAAAATATTTTTGACATCCATATTGTAATAATTTATTTAACTGATGAGGAAAATAGTAATTGAATTTTTAACATTTCCATTCTTCAGTAGCCAGACCATTCGTAAGGCCTTTCGTTATTTGGGCGTAAACATAGATAAATTTTTAGCAAAATTGCTATTTTTTGTTATGGTTTATACGCCACATGTTGGTGATTCCTCTCTAAAAATCTTCTTAGGAAACGGTTATTATGCATGCGTATTCTGACGACTTCGACGCAACAAAAAACGATGTGTTTGTTTGTTTGTTTCGTATTTTTTTGTTCCGAAAAAATCGCCAGTACAAAATATCGGCGGAATACGCATGCATAGTAACCCTAGCATTAGGCAAACATTTATCTCTACATACAGTTACTCAAAATAACTCCTGACCCGGGCTCATTTTTTTTAATATTCGTAATGTTTTTCGAGCTAAATTTTCTTTGTTACTTTTCTATAAAAATACTGTCCAAGCTTTAACCAAAGCAATATAAATCATAGCTTCGAATTTAGGAAAATTCAACAAATTTTCATCTAAACTTCAACTTTTTAATCTGAATCTTTCATTTTCCGGTATGCAGATTTATAGCCAATACAATTTTAATCTAATGAAGTGAAAGTCTCAAACGGCTAAAAAATCCAGTTAGGTTTTAAGAACTAAACTAAAGCCAGGTTTTTAAATTGTATGGGCTATAAAACTGATTGCCCAAAAACGTTCTAAAGATTCAGATTAAAAAATTGAAATTTTAAAGAAAATTTGTTGAATTTTGTATCACGTTTGCAACTGTGATTTCATTGCTTTGTTTAACGCTTGGAAGGTATTTTTATAGAAAAAATAACAAAAAAATAATTAGGTCGAAAACATTACGAATATTTAAAAATAAAAAAATTAGCACGTGGTCATTTCTTTGAGTCACTGTATTATAAACAAGTAATTTTTAAGCAAAAAACCAAACCGACTTCAACTCTCATATAAAAATTTAAGCTTATTGTTAATTTCTTCATGATCCAATGATCGGATTTTAACCAAATTAGTATGGCACCACCTGTGGGGTAATTATAGAAATCGGTTAACGTGGTGCAAAGTTATGCGGTAACATACATAAAAAAAAATTTTTAATATAAAAAAACATTCCGACGAATAGATAACCTTCTCCTTTGTGTGAAGTCGGTTAAAAAGGTATTGATTAATGGTAATTCCGTTTCTTCCAAAAAATGTTGCCCTTACACGGTGCAAAATATGTTTAATGTTACACTTAACCCCCTATGGTTTAATCTAATATCGGTCTTTGAGCTAATGAGGAATTGAGGAATTGGTAAAGATTTGTTTACGCTTTTAACTTCATTAGTTCAAAAAACACATATGAAAGTTAGGTGCATTAAAGTTTACGAATTTTTATAAACGCCACTGCGGTCGGCTCTTTGTTTCGCTCCCTCAAAAATATATGTATGTAGCATGGATGTTAAAATGTGGCGTATACGAATTCCCACAAAAAAACGTAGCAGAGCGTTATCCATGCGTACGTGAGCGAGCGCATGCAGCTTACATTTGAGATTTGAACAGGATAAGGAGTGCCGGCAGTAGTTGAAGCGAAGCAAGGCCAAAATCTGACAGCAACCATTTAGCGGCGATGCTCTCGCATGTATGCCACTCAATTTATTTGACAGCAGCAAGACCTTTGTCACTTAAAACTAGAACTTTGCCACCCAAATGCCACAACTACGCTTAGCATCAAGGACAACACTAACTAAAGCTATCACGAACCATTTGGAGCACTCATATATGTATATTTATATATGTATACATGCACGTACATGTATGTATGCATAGAAAAATCGTTTAGGCTTCACAAAATTTCGTGCTGCTCGACTGCTACTCGCTTGTTTTAAGCTCGCGAATTTCGCATGCCACAGCAAGTGAATTTATGTCAAAAACTATTTGTCGTCATAGGCTGCGTGCGCTGGGAGTACGAGTAGTTAGTTGCCCAGCATTCCAGCAGTTACGCTGTGCGCCACGTTTGGCAATTGCGTGCGGCATGCAAAGTGCATTCACTATGTATGTATGTATGTATGTATGTACGACGCGCATGCACCAAGCCCCAGTCTGCACGGCGGCAGTGCAATTCCAATTCCATGCCATGCCATTTGGCAATAGTCGGGACTGACTAAAGTGCCTGCAGTCATTGGAGCGGCGCTTAAGCAACCCAACCAATTAACTAACACCATCAATAAGCCAGTCGAATGTCCTTAAAAGCGCCGTTGGTGTACGCTTAATGAATTTTAATTCGAGTTTTGTCATATCGCGCTGCCATCTGCTGCATGCACATCGCCATAAATTCCAGCAGCAATGGCAGCGGTACGCGACCGCGCCGTACTACTAATACTTATTTGCTGTTGGCGAAAATTTTGATTGATTTTGCATGTTGCACGAATTGCCGCAAGTTGGAAGTTACAAGTTACACCAAGCAATTTGCAACTTTTCGCGTAGATACTCTGTATGCCAAGCACACACAACGCGCTAATATATGTACATATTTCAGAATCACTATCTTCCGCGTCGATTTCATATTTTATTCACTCACCTCAATTATCTGCATTAGCACATCGAAAATCAACTGCGTACTACTCTTGAAGTCCACACCCGACTGCGTTGTAAAGTAGCGATAATTTTTTGTTGCGATATCCTCGCTGGAACGTGCTGCACCGCCCGCAGAATCCTTTGCTTTGCGCTCCGCCGCGCTGCTAACATCACTGCCTGGCATTTCTGCATCGCTGGCATTGTTGTTGGTTGTGTTATTTGCGTACGCCTCCATTTGTTGCCACACGAAATTCAAATCATATTGATTAACACTAAATTGGCCAGTGCCAATGACAGAGTCACGCACTCGAGCAGCGGCGTTGGAGTTGGAGTTGGCGCCGTAGTTGGTGCGCAGTTGACGCTCCAAATTTGGATGATAGAAGACGTTCGCCTCGGAGACGAGTAGCTGCACTTTGTGCAACTTTTTAAGGCTGAAAAGAGAGAAAAGGAAATTTTATTTTGAGCCAAATGATTAAAAGGACCTGTGTACACCAAATTTTTAAAGATAGTTTGTTTTAGGAGTATACCATTTTAAATCAGGGACCGAACATAACAGTTATTGATGAAAACCGTCATTGAAAAATTCACTATGAAGGAAATGTTCTTCAAATAAGTGATACATAGCAGTCGACTTCTAGAAAATCAATTTTTATTTGTAATTTTTAGGGAAAATTTTGAAAAAATAACAATTATTTTTGATTTTTTTTTCATAAACACAAAATGACAATTATTTTTGATGTTTGTCTAAATAATCTGCAAATAAGAGTTATTTGTGATTTTTATATTATATGTCTTCGATAAAAATTATTGAAGGCTTTCATTTATAAAAGTCATCGATATAAATCAGTCACCGACTTTTATGTTTTAAGTCATACGTATAAAAGTCATTATCATTTTTCGCAATTAAAAAGGTATTGGAGAACAAAAGTTTACTACGATTTATACAAATGACTTTTAAAAGTATGATTTAAAAAATAAAAGTCACTGACAGATTTATATTGATGACTTTTAAAAGTAGATTGATTTTATTTGATTTAAGATTGATTTTTATTTATGAATTTTATAAATAAAAATCTTCAATAACTGTTATCTAATATATATAATTTTAAAATCAAAATTAACTCTTATTTGTAGATTATTAGATAAAAATCAAGAATAATTGTTGTTTTGGATTTATAAAATAAAAATGAGAGATAACTGTTATTTAAGGAGTAATTAAATAAAAGTCAAAAAACATTACCAATGGGCTTTTTCCCAGAAAATATTGAAAAGTCTTCAGTTTCAATATTTCTAGCAAAAAAATTGTTTTTTTTTTTTTACTTTTTATTCTTAATTAATCATTTGCTATTTTTAAGGAGAAGATAAAAGTGATTTTTGTTGTTGTTATGGATTTTTTTTTCGGTATTTTCAGAAATATTAGAGCAGTTTCGAAAAAAGCGGACAATTTTGTAGAGATACCTTTTATTTACAGCGCCTGGCACAGATTACTGAACGTATTTGTACTTAGACCGATTATCGATAACGTCAAAGAAATAAGTATGGATTTATCGACATCACCTTTGAGGTTATGAGGATTATTCTTTCTCTTTTGGAAGCTGCCTTTAGGTTTTGTAAAAACGTGGGTTTTCTAGGAGCATAATAATGGCTGGTCATTAGCTACTCTCCTCATTCGTTCCACATTTCCTGCATATCTTAACAAAATTTAGATCTAACTCAAAGGCATTTGATGTCACCAAACCTCGATGCCAATGTGTCCAGGTGTACCTCCAAGCCAGCGTATATATGTAAATATAAGTCGGCCACTCCTGCCCTGTATGCTACTAAACTTCTTGAGGGACTCAGTATTCGAAATGGCTTCCAGCAGGAGGAAAAGTAGATTTGGCTACTAAACGATTGCAGAGCGCATTCAATGCATTGGCGTTATGAGCTTTATCACAAAAATGGGTAAAACAAAAGTCTAGATTATCTACAAAAACTGTTATACAATTTTTCTTTCTAAGAATTGCCATTTCTGGGATATAGCGATTCAAAAAAATCGTGTTCTTCATACTATGCACAATTTCAACTGTACTTATGGGAAGTGTTTCGGAGTGTTTTCCCCGGTAGGTTTACTCCACGACTTATTGTAGTCCTGTATAACTGAACCATATTGAATATTGAAATGAAAATAGTACCATTGGAATTGATGATAGCGGTGTGAACTGAAAGTAATTAGAGAAAACTAAATATCTAATATTTGATATTTACACTCGTTTACAGGAAATCCAAGCTGTATCCCCACACCATCACTGATTATGTAAAATTTTCCGCCGAAAAGGATGTCAAAATTTCACAAAGTATAGTAGTTTTTGAGATATAGACAAATATCGGTGTTTAGAGATGTGAAAAAGTGCACTCACTTAATCGGATATTTTTTTTTATATAGCTGGTGAATCTTAAATTTCTCTCTACAATAGTGAAGCTTTTTAAATTTACTATGTTCTACGTAAACGATATTTTCCAACCGGATTAGTAGTTTAGGAGCAAATCATTAATTCATCGATAATTTTGCATGCATAAAAAATTAAAAAAGAAAAACCTTACTTTCGGTAATACCATCAATTTGAAAGAGCCCGTTAACTTCTGGATACTTACACGTCAATGCATGAGCTTTCACGAATACAACAAGGTCCTGCTCATTTAAATTTAATAATATTTAAATGTAATTAGTATGTGTTTTGGTGCTTTTTCTTACTTTAATCTGCCAATGCTTTTTTTCTAATATAAAAAATATAATCGGTATTAGGCAAAAACAGTATTGAAATCAACATGGACGAGTAGCGCGGCCTATTGCAGGCAGCCTTGACTAACAGCTGAAATTGAATAGTTTGTAAGTTGACAAGAGTAAAAGTACGAAATACCTACATATGTAGATACATATATACGTACACGTAAATACATACACATTAAAACTCCAAATGTGTAACGGCCCACCAGCTAAAGGCTTTGTGAATTTTGTTTGTTCACGATGGAATAAAAAACCGACTGAGTACATTTCGAATACAACTTGATTTGCGAAATTTCAATTTTCGTCGATTTTATAACGCAATGGAAACAAAAAATTTTTCAATAAACCGTCAAATTATAAACAAAAACAGTAGATATGAAATGGCAACAGTAATTTTACACATTAACTACCGACTAAGCTGGATTATACTTAAATATGCACACATATGCGTCTGCATGTACTCGTATTTATGCAATAAATTTGTATATCTTCAGAAGTTCGTAAGTAAGGCTCGTTTCATGTTTAATAATAAGGACATTGTTGAAATTTCTTTATTTATTTTTATTGCATATTGATAAGCAACAAATGAGGACAACAAAAACAGAGCCAAACTATAGATACAGATATACAAATATGTGCATACATACATATGGATATGTGTAATGAAACATAAATAAAATTGATAACCAAGCTAGAGCTACATATGGCTTGAGAACAAAAGCAAATGCATATACATATGTACATACATATTTATGTAACTACATGAGAAAAACACAAAAGCAATAGTATGTAAGTACCCTGCAGTGAAAAGACAAACCAGTCAGTAAAAAAGTCAATTCATTAACTAGTATGAGCTAAAGCGATGGCCTACCAGTTCGACAATCTCGAACAATTTACAAAAGCGTTCAGCGACATCTGCAACTGGCAAAATTAAAAATAAAATGCAATTAATTGCTTTTCTTACAAATTGTCAGCTGTGGCGTCGCGTGAAGACTATCGACTCTGGTTCTGGGATCGCAGGTTCGAATCTGCTTGGAGGCGTAAAGATTTTTAATCTAAGTAAATGCATATAATTATTTCAATTTAAATATAAATTACAATTTCAATTTAAATATAATTACAAGTTATCTAGTTTGGTGTTAGAAACGACGAAGTTATGTAAATAAATACTTGTACCATAAAAATTAAATGAAAGGTAAAAGCAATAGTTTTATTAAAAAAAAAAAACAAATAAATTAAAAAATTACAATAAAAAAAAATACAAATTTAAAAAACTACACTGAAACATAAATAAAAAATTTTCTGCAGCATATTTCAAAACAGTGATATTAACCGGAAATGTCCAACGAACGCAAAACTGATTAGTATATTCAATAATGTCTGCTGCACAAGCAAGCCGTTAAATCCGTTGGTGTTACTTCTTACATATGGAAATTTAGCATTAGAACAATAAGTACTACGATCTTTCAGTTTTATTATAATCGTAACAGCCCTTTAAATTTTTCGCGTAAAACATGTCTTGTCCGATCACACAGAAATACTATAATGTTAAAAATTCCAGTCCCTGACATTGAAAAAGGATAGACCGCTAACAGGTTAGCTTTCCCTGCAGGGTAAAGGCATATGAATGTCAAACACGCATCTAAAGCCGCTACGTCCAGCCATCGCCTCTCCACATCGTTAAGCACACACTTGTATTTTATAAGCCGGCTTTTAGGCGCACGCACGAAATATCTAATGGAAATCTTAAGCATGGCAGTTCTAACAATGGGAAAACAATGCAATGACAAATCGTTGATAAAGTAGCCAATGTAAGCGAAATAATTTATCTGGAAGGATGAACAACGGGAATGCAAGGTCATAGGCAAACGAACCGAAGTGCTGCTATATACACATACATATGTTTGTACATTAGGGCGGGTCAATTTGTATAGATCGATTATTTTCGACATAGTTCCTAGCAGATTCGGATTATTCATGAAATTCTAAGGAAAAAATTCATCCTGACCATAGCTCTACTTTCAATTTCCAGCCTGCGCAATTTCAAAAGAAGATATCTTCAAATGATTGCATCTTGCGGTTGTTTAAATAAGAAACAGATATCAAAAATTAATTATTGGTATCAAAAAACCCACAAAATACAAATTTGTATTGAAAAAAATAAATAAAATAAGCAACACTTTAGTAAATATTAATTTGCATATTAACTTAGCATCAGTCAAAGATATCTTCTTTCAAAATTCGGCAGACTCGAAATTAATTTTAGAGCTGTGATCTAACGGACTTGTTTCTTAGAATTTTATGTAGAATCCGAATCTGCTAGGAACGATGTCGAAAAAAAAAATTGGCCCGCCCTAATGTACATACATTACATACATACACTGCGGAAGTGCTGAGACGAGTGATATGAGTAGACGCAAAAGAGTAAACGTGAATTTATTATCCTTTATATTGCGACGTCTCTCGCAAAAATGTATTTCTAATAAAATGTTACATCTTATCCTATCTTCTTTAAATGCTTGAATAAGAAATGACTTCTTATTACTTTGGCTCTTAACATTCGCATACATTTTATGAACATGAAATGGTATTATAACTTTGGTCCGACATTTGTAAATAGCAGAAAACAGTAAAACAAATAAAAAATTAAGAAAACATGATTTT